CCCCAAAACCCCAAAACCCCAAAACCCCATTTCAAAATAACTAAATTGATTCAAAGATTTTGAAAATGGCTGACAAAGGTAAGATTCATGAAGAAATCAGTTGGTTAGTACTAACATGAAAGCACAACATGTCATAACTTCATTTTGAGAAGGACTGAGAAAGCATAGATAGTTAGAATTAATGTAGGAGGTCATAGAGAAGTAGAAGAAATAGGTGAAGGGTAGTAGGAAGTAACTTGGCTACATTACTGTCTTACTACTTCTGACAAGCTCTAGGCTTCAAAACATGCTCCTCCAGACTTGTTCCTCTAACATATCTGCTATAGATCAAAATGTAACTGAGGAATTTACTTCTTCACAACCAGGATACAAAGTAACTACAAAAACCACTACTTACAAGGTGAGCAATGGGAGTGGATTCACTGACCACTCAGAGTCAATGGAGTTCTCCTCCACTCCTACAAAGACTACAGTGCATGAAAAAAGGATTGAGATTACCCATTCGTTTGGGCTAGTCCAATCTGAAATGAACAAGCTAGGAAAAACCAAAGACTTTTACTCGAGACTCAGGGACAGGAGAAACAATTTTGATTCTCAAGTCCAATCCTTCACTCAGAAGATCGAAGAAGGAGGCAAAGGCGTCAAGAGCCAGGTGAAGAACCTCGAGAGCCAGACAGATACTCTATCCCTTGACTTGAGAGACATCAGTGAGCAAAGTTCAAAGAAAGAGAAAATGATTGCTGAAATTCAGATGAAATCTGCCACCAATCTCAATGGCTACAAGAAGAAAGAAGCTGAAATTGACGAGACCTTCACAAACACTAGCAAGGACAGAGATACCCAGCTGATTGAATATCTTGAGAAGCTAAGAAAAGCCCAGAAAGAAATGGAAGCCCTTGTCGAAAACTCCGTTAAGGATAGAGAGGCTATTAGAAAGAAGCTCGAAGATGTCCAAAGACAGGTTATATATGCGAAAGACCCCAAGTTCCTCCCAGAAAGCCTTAGAAACAGTGAGAAGGAGAAAAACCAACTCTCCCAGAACTTGGATACGCTCAAACAAAACGTAGCTGCATTGAAGGTTCAAGTTGAAGAAGTTGAGACTAGAAATGATAAGCTAGAAAGAGAGGTTGGAGCTTTGAACACTCATAACGAGATCAATAAGCCAATTCAAGAGGAAAGAGAATCTCTCATAGCTAAGACTCAGGAGTTGTCTGCCTCTCAACACAAACTCTATACTGAAAATATCCAAAAAATCAAGCTGCTTCACCAACTTGAACTTGAAATTACTGAAAGAAGAACTGTTTTCCCAATCTTAAGAAATAAATTGAATGCTTCTATCATAGTCCTGGATGAGAACATTGATGGGCTTGAGAAAGACATCGAAGTCATTGACGACGGCACCAAACAGATGGACAAAAAGGTAGATGACCTCAGGTCCAAAGTACAGAGCCCAGTCTTTGTCAACGCTTTAGAAAGAATCCAACAAAGATTGAAGAATCTAAACGGTGAAAACCAAAAGAATGGAGGCGAGAAAGATCAAGTCAGGAAAGATACCACAGATCATAGACTCAAATTAAATGAAGTTGATTTCTTCAATCTCACTCAGGAAGAGATCAGAGTCTACATCACTAACCTTAAGAAGGTAAAGGATGGCTACAATGGATCAAACAAAACCAAAGATGACCATATGAGGGAATACAAAAAGCTTCAAGATGAGCTGGATGACCTTCAGAAAGATATCCTAGCTGAGTACGAGAAGAACATCAAGGTTGTTCACAAGAGAAGCGATGCTAATGTCAAAGACACATCTTCAAACCTTGACAAAGCCAAGGTCTTGATCACTGAGCTTGGAGATACTCTTGATTCTGAAAATCCAGCCATGGGAAAATTCATCAAGGAATATGAAAACGCTAGAAACCAACACTCAGATGTAAAGGGAAATAATGGGGACCACCAAAGATGTATGACTGAGTTCTCTAACAGAAATATGGATGGAGATGATCACCTTACCTTCCTTATCACTCTCAACGAAGACCAACTGGTGACCGATAGTGGTATCCAAGACAACAAGAAGAATTCTGAGAATCTTCTTGCCATGCTCATGAGGCTTAAGAATGATCTTGACGAAGAAGACAAGAGTGCTAAAGACGATATCCTCAACAAAGCTAAGAATCTTCTGATGTCTAAGTACAAAAAGTTAGAAGATCTTGAAGAGAAACTCAAGGAGCTTGAAGACGGAGAGATGAAGTATTTCAGATCCCTTGACCTTGCCTTACAAATTGTGGGCAAAGACCACCCTGAATACTCAGACCTCTCTGCAATTGACAAAAATTCAGGAGTAAGCAAGCAACTGAGAAAAGATAAAAATAAGCTCGAAGATGAATTTGAAGATCTCAAACAACTTATTGATAATGCTGATCCAAAAGCTATGACTATGAAGCAAGTCTTAGAAATCCAATCCAGAACAGAAGGAGCGGTAGAAGAGCACGGAAGAGTTGACAAAGAAATTAATGACGGCCTCAATAATCTTAGATTGATCGTCATTTACCTTGACAAACTTCTCGTAACTCTCAGAGATAGGATCAAGAAAGAATCTGACGAGAAGGTTGCCGATCTGAGCAAAAAGATTGAGTTCCTTGTAAGGTTCCTGACTCCAGAGAATGAAGAAGCAGATAGTATCCAGAGACCAACTAAATTGAAGGAGTTACTAGATCAAACTTCCCTTTCTAGAGATGATCCAGAATATGCTCAATACAAGACCTATGTTGAACTTGTAACAACAAATCTCACGAAATGCAACTATGCTGCTAATGATTTGAAGAGACTCAACAAGGACACCTCAAAGGTCTTGAAAGAGTATGATTCAAAGAGTCTTCCACAAGATGTTATCACAGATCAGATCGAATACATCCAGGAGTCGGCTGAAATTTTAAAAGATAATGAAAAACCATCTGAAGAGCTCACAGTGGTTGTCACAAGCATCCTCAAAGAACTCGATTCAGAAAAAGAAGAAGAGATCAGAAACTTCTTAGACCACCTCAAGTCTCAAAGAGAGCAAGCTGGAGAGGAAAAGCTCAACCAGCTCCTTCATGATGTCGATGAGCTTGAAAAACTCTGGAAAGCAGTGAACCAGGACAATGATTCCTTCACAAAGGTGCTTAGCAAGGCTAAAATTGGTGCTAAAAGCAGAGAGAAAGTCAAGCTGGCAGACACCCTCATCAAAGAGAGTGAAGTCGATCAAAAAGACTTGAGAGAGGTCAAGAAAGATATTGGTAAGAGCCTACTTAACTATTTTTAGATCTGATCAAGAGTGAGTCAAGAAGATATGACCTTTCCAGGATCACAGTGGAAGAGATCTATATCATGATCACCAAGATTGAGACCTATCTCATCACAGTTGCCAAGCGTACTGAGGAATGCCAGACAATTCAAATCAATATTGATGAGAGGAAGAAGAGATGGGATGCTTTCCTTAAGGAGACAGAAGTTCTTGAAACCATCATCAACGAGTATTTCTCTCTGCTCTCTGGACTCAGAGAGAAGTATGAGAAATTAATTAAGTCTCATAATTTCTGCAGCAACTCTGTAGATGGGTTCATCCTTGTTAATCAAAAAATCCAAGAGAATGAGCATTACGAGACAAACGAAGCTCCATGTGCTAATAGAGAACAAATTCAGGCTCAGCTTGGAGAACTTGATTATCAGAAGAACGAATATGCTCCAAAAGTTGATGAATATGAAGCATATGATGCTGCAAAGCTAAAGAATCTTGAAGTGAGCGAAATTGAAGCTCTGATACAAAGCCTCACTTCTCTAATCAACTCTATTGACAACGATAACCAAAGCTTAGACGATGTCACATTATACCTCAAAGACGAAAGGAAGGATTTCAAAAATGGTGATGTTTATAACAACAGAAGTAGAATTGAAGAGCTCCTAGAAACTGCAGATCAAAAACTCCAAAGCTCAGTGAATGAATTTGAAGGTCTCAAAGAGACTCTCCAAGGAACGGATAGCTCAGATTCCAAGCTCACTGAAAAAATCAAAGAAATTGAGGGCCACATTGTCAAAGCTGGAGAGACTCTTGAGCTTGCCAAATCTGACTTCGAAATTGTCAGCCAGGATATTGAAAGAGAGAACATGGATACTAGCAAGCTTGTCCTCCTAGCAAGCATCATTGAAAAGCTTGGCACAGTTGCAGCCTACCTCAAAGAATGTGATGAGATCTTCGAGTTAATCGAGATTGCCTTCAAGGAGCTCCAGACTGAATTAGTGGATCTCTACTACTCCAAGAAACTCATAGATATGATCGGTGTAATCAAAATGCTCCTTGAAAGACTTGGAAGGCTTAGTGATCTCATTGATAAGCTCATTGCTCTTGCAGCAGAATTCAACGGCTACACTAGCGACAACGAGGAAGAAGAGTTTGTAAATTCCTTGGAATCAGAACTAGCAGAAATTAAAGAGCACCACACAGATACTCAGGATAAGTTAACTGCTCTTGAGCAAGAAATAGAAGAACTCCAAGCTCTTCTCAAGCAAGAGAACCCTATCATTGACGAAGAGAAGGCTGACCAAGTTGACTCTAAAATTGGAGATCTTTCCAAAATGATTGAGAACATTGAGAAATTAGTAGATTCCAAAATTCAAAGATTCGCTGATATGGATCCTTACAAAAAGTTTAAAAGAAGAGAAAAGGAACTGAACAAGCTCACAACAATTCTTTCAGAAAGAGAAAATACGCTCAAAACTCTAACTACAGAATGTAAGGCTGATCTGAAGAACCCTGATTGCAGTCCTGAATTAAAGGAAATAGCCAAGGAGGTTATCGAAGAGATTGAGCCTCTCGAGGAGAATCTTGACAATATGTCTCAGCGTATGACCATGCTTGGCAATGAGATCGCTACTTGTCTCGAAAAATCAGCTAAAACAGAGATGACCATTGAAGAAATCTTCGAGCTTCTCTACTCAAATGTAGACATTAAGAAGAAGCTGAAGCTGATTCTCCAGAACATCGATGAGTTCAGCAAGATGTTGAACGAATGCCGCAAGAAATATCTCCTCAAAAAGGCTGAGTCCCCCATCAAGAAGAAGTACAAGGCTGCTAAAGGAGATCAGGTTGATGAGATGCTTGGAAACTGGATCAACTCTCACGGCTGCGAGATCGAAATCAAGCGTCTTGGAGGTGGTTTCTACATGTTTGGAGAGAAGAAAATCTATGCTAAAATCATTAATGGTAAACTTATCATCAGAGTCGGAGGTGGATACATGAACATTGACGAGTTCATGCAACATTACGGAATGATGGAGCTTGCTAGACAACAAAGAATGATGGAAATGGAGTACGAGTCTATTGATTATAATGATATTATGTCTAAAGATGATGAAGGAACAAGCACTTCAAGCAAAGGAGCAATGGGAATTGCTGAAGCTAAAAAGAACCTTAGAGGCGGATTAGGTGGTAGCTTTGTTGGCTCAAGGAAAGGAGGTAGTCCGAGAGGTAGCCCTAAAGGTGGGAAAATCCCAAAGGGTAGCCCTAGAGGATCATTTGCAGGCAGACATGGAAGCCCAAGAAATAAGACAATGAAAGCAGGAGGAAGCCCAAAGAATAACACATTTAAGCATCCTCCAAAAGGGATGCCCTCAGTTTCCAAAATTGAGGAATCTCTTAGAAAAATGGAGAGAGATGCCCAGAAGGGAAAACTAAAGGAAGGATATGAGACTTTGTCCTACAAGAAATAATCACTCCATACTCAATTCAATCGCTAATAAATTTTAAGGGGTTTTGGGGTTTTGGGGTTTTGGGGTTTTGGGG